AACCCATCAGTGCGTGCGCTGATTTCGTGCTCCACGGCTAATTTGCGGATACGGTATTCATGAGTTGGATCGAGGAGCGCTCCTTTAAACAGCAGTCCATCCGTACAGTGTTTTATAGATACGACGTTAATCTCAGCTTTTCTGTCGTATATTCGATTAGTTCCCAATTGCTTTGTCTTGCATTCACCTGGATTTAGTCATGGTGAACGACGACTCGGCTGAAGCTGCTAACAACAACCATGTTAAATTGTCTGAAACTCAGCTTATACAAAACGAATTCGGTGCTCCTTTGGAAGAATGTTACAAGCTGGCCGTAAGGTTCTATAAAGGTCAGTTTTTTTCAATATCTTCCTTCAATTCAATTTTCAATATCGTTGTAATTCGTTGTGATTTGAGTGGATATTAGACGAGACAGTGAGAATTAGATGATTGGTCTTCATTTATTAGACTAGTCCAAAAATCTTGCACCAAATATCATGTTTTTTGAACAGTTATAAGTCCATCGATGTTACTGGAGAAAATAAACCTGAACGCTTAATCACGTGGGTCCAACTCTTCGTGAGAGTATCAAATAATTCCACAAGCTGCGAGTCAAAGAACTGCCATATCTCACTTCCAGCTCTTTCTGAACATCTGATCGTTTTGCCGTAGGAGCACTTACTACAGGAGATCAAGACAGAAATGGGGAAGGTGCGGTAAATTCCCCAACCAATTTCAGCAGTCTTACTGGCGAGGCTTCGTCACATGTGGTTAGGCATTGTTGTGAAGGGGAGCAGCTGGACCGGCTTTCTTGCGCTTCTAGCGTTCGTCATTTTTGTAGCTGAGACGATAAGTAGATGCTTCTTGTGTGCTCTGCCGTATTCTGCAATCAGGAATTCAACTGATACAGAATTCTTGTTCATAAAAGGAGCCATGGTGCAGAATTTTTCTGACCAGCCTAAGATGTTGCAACCTTTTGTTGCAAATGACGTATTCGTTTATAAAAAAGAGTTCTAGCGTACTCAGTCCGATCAGCTCTAATGGTCATTTAATAAGCAGCTAAGCAAAAAAAACCTTTTCATTCCGTTTTGATAGTATGACAAGGGCGCTAAAGTGGTTTGAGAGGCCCGAGGGGCAACACTAATACGTGGCGGTTTTGGTCGTTTGCGCTGTTCTAAGCCTAATCCTGAGGTGAGGGAGGGTGGAGTATCATCTCGGTGATAACAAGAGCCAGAGTCGCCGTGGTCGCTGCACCCCCGAAACGCCCCCCCCCCACTACGTTGCAGCGAACCTAGGGGAACACCCTATTGAACCTATTGAACTCGTTCTAAAAATTGTTTGTCTTCTCACCTTAATATTGCAGTGGGCATTTCCTTCAAAAAAACATGAACAGTCCCTCTTGGTTGATGCTACTTGGTTGCGGTGATCTTTATCTGCCCTTTTATATGTAAAATGTATGTAAATATGTTTCTATATGGTCTCATTTTTATGTCAAAATGTGCATCTTCCCCCACTGAGTGCACCATAATACTTATTTTAGCAGTCAGTGGAAGATTACGATAAAATATGAAGAATATTGATACTTGTAGCATACTGTTTAGGTTGCCATATGAAATGCTTTTCAAATTTAGAGAAGGAGAAATCAGGAGATTTGGTAATGTCGTACCACGATCGCGTGAAGTTGATGGCCCTTAACAAGCAGGTGCGTTCCGGATTCAAATTTGATCGATTTGCTTTAGTTCTAAAACTAGATGATAGGGCATACGGATGATAGGGCATGTCTCGGGCACGTTTGGCGCGGCTCCGCGCCCGCCCGTTTTTTTTTCCTTCGGCAAGCGACAAGACTGTATAATATCGTTTGCATTAGTCCTTTTCCACCAATTGTTGTTACATACTGTTCCAGCAGAAGAAGGGCCGGAGCGCTCCAAAATTGGCGCATTGACACACCCGCAACATTCGTTGCGAGCGAAGCTGTGAACAATTATTGTTCAATTATTTGATGTGTTACAAGACAATCCCATTTTTGTGATAGTTCTGCCGCTAATTGCTGCACCAGCTCTAGTCATCCATTTTGGCTTCTTAGCGTTTTCTTTACAATATTAAGTGTTAATCAGTCCAAGCACTTCTTTGGCTTAAAAGAGCAAAGCGTGGCCGACAATTTTTTAGAATATGTCGCCATGCTGCATTCGTTGGGAATCAGAGTGGGATTAAAAGGCGCTTTGGCCTACGCAATAAACCTCTAAGCTAGCGATGTAGGTTTAAAGTCACTCATCCTGCTGGACCGGTGCCAATTAACCGATGCTAATAGGATGAAAGGCTTAGTTGGCCTGATCAGGTTGTGACCCCTTGAAAGTGCGGTGGGAAGCTGCTATTCGTTGTACTAGTTCTCTACTTTGCTGATAAACAGATCTTCGGTCAAATTCCTTTTAGTGTCTCGATTTAATTGTCACATGATCGTGCTTTGAATGTCCACAAATGTTTTTTACTGCGTGAATGTTAGATATATGGTTGAGCGGGATTAAGGTGAGCAGAAGATGATCGAAAAGGAACCTGTTGGCAAGACCACCGTTTCTCAACGGTGGTTTTGCCGACAGGTTCCTTTTCGTTCATCCTCTGCTCACGCAAATCTTGCTTCTTTGTTGAGCGCCAGTGAAAGAATGAGTCAAAATAGCTGTGTGACGCTCCAGTGCATGAATGGGAAGGTGAGACAGGATTAGATATGGGCTAATGAGATGCTTCAAAGTACGACTTGTGGGGTAAAGAAACGTTCGATCTCTCTGCAATCATATCAAGCTATTCGGATTCTAACATTATCTTATTCTGAGTCGCCAGGGAACCCTTCCTCTCGGCTGATTTTATTTAACGCTTATTTATTTTTTGTATCTTTATCCGGTTTTTGCTTTGCCATTATTTGGACTTGATTGATCATTACGGTTCGGCCTGCTATGGAAGTTCTGCCGAGGTAGTTTGTTTTGTTCTTCACTGCCGCAATCCCTTGAAATTTTTCGCTAAGCTACATTCTCACATTTCGACTTTGAAGGAATGACGAATCCACGGAAAAGGGAGAAATGCAGGATATGCAGAATACTTATGACCTAAAAAGAAGTGCTAGGAATTTATGCTCAGTCCGCCCCTGCAAGAAATCCCAGTTCTGCGATATTTCGGCAGATTCCGCAACTCTCCCCATTCCGAGATTCGTCATTTCTGTGTATCGATACCTATACAACCTTTTTTTGTAGATTCTCCCTTTCTCCCAATTCGTCATTTCCTCGAATCAATACATATACTTTCTTCCGTCCGCAGTTTCGTCATTTCTTCGAAGTTGTCATATATGAACGCGCCCTTACAGAGCATTTGCTCAGCTGCTGAAGGTACATCCTTCTATCTTTGTGAGACATCGGTGTCGCATGTTTGTCTTTGCTTTGCGTCTCTGGGTTTCATATGCATATGGTATTATACTAACGCCACACCCCCACCCCCTCTTTCTCCTTCGGCTTTTTTGAGTGTCATTCTGTGAGTCGCTAAAAAATCGCGAAACCATCAGGCGATGAAGATACGTGAACGTATTTTGACTCCCACAGGAACGTCAGTTAGTGGGTTACATTTGAAAAACCGATGGTAGTTCGAAATTCTGCTTCGAGCGGAGATAGGTCGAAGTCCATGGATTCGGGCGTTCCGTAAGTGAAGATCGCTATTCTTTTTCTATATTGAAATTTTCGTCATCTTACTTTATGGTTACATGTTCGTTTGCATGTATGTATAGAAAGCAAATTAGTGCTCTATATTTATATTTCACTGTTTCAAAAGATACAAGGGGCACCCGTTGTAGGACGCATCTTCATTTTGGAAGCTGCGGATATTTTTTCTCGCTATTTTTGAGTGCTTAATTGTTCTTATTCATGTGAATGACCTTTGTTGAACGAGAAATGTTTGAAAACCAATCAAACATTAGAATATGCAAAAAAAGCTAAAATTGGCTTACCAGGGAAGTCCGCCAACTTGCCATGGAACTTCGAATGGAGACCTGGGTAGATCGAGAGTCTATAAGGTTATTTACAAATATACTGCAACCTGCATTTCACAAGCAACTTATGAGCAGGTAAAGTTTGTAATGGTGCAGTAGGGTGGAGGCTTGGTGGTGAGCTGTGAAGCATAAGCGAGGAATCGCATACGTCGAATCGAGTCGTGGTGGTTCAGTGGTAAGGTTCGACGTTCGACGACTCGATTCGACGTATGCGATTCCTCGTTTATGCTTCGCAGCTCACCACCACGCCTCTACCCTACTGCACCATTACAAACTTTATCCTGCTCATAAGTTGCTTGTGAAATGCAGGTTGCAGTTTTGCTATCTACATATTTGTAAATAACCTTATAGGCTCTGTCGATCTACCCAGGTCTTTATTCAGTGCTCCATGGTAACTTGGCGGACTTCCCTGGTTAGAGAATTCTTGGTTTTTTTGTTAGAGAATGAAAGCGCGAGCTCTGTCGCATGCCTTGCAAATAAATGGTCTTAACTCCACAAAATGAGTATGTAAAGGAGGTTGCCGACAAGAAAGGTCTCAGATTTAACGTGCTCGATATTTTTTCGTGCACATCCTTAGGCTTTATTGCTGCAGTATTTGAACCGTGACGTACTTACTAGTGGTTGTTTAGGTTCGAAATGGACCTTTCGCGGAAGACTCCGATACGGCGGGATGGTTTGATGTATTCGGCAACGACATTTCGTAAGTGCTTCTGGGAATCGGTTTACTTTTAGCTTGTACTGTGGAACTCAAAGTAATGTTCCTGTCGTACTGCTTCTGCGCTCTCACATCAGACGAATCTCTCATCAAACAAACAGGAATGATTCGAGTTTTAGACAGCACAGGTTTTTCTAAACTCGTGGTTTTTTTCATCACAAGGCTTTATATAGGTCTATCATTAGGTTCTGGGTTCCTCTGCAAGTTACTTTTTTTGAAAAAAAGAGCGCCTCCATCTTCATTTACCCTTTTATAAAGGAAAACGGACATGCCTCTGAGAAATTTCATTCTGCGCGACAGTTATGCATAAATGCGAACAAAAGCTTTGGGATGCTGCCGGTTGTAGCTTCTCATATGGGAAGCATTACCGGTAATTTCCATTCTTGATAAGAACGGTTTATCTTCCTGTTTGCACAATACTTTTCGACCTATCTCAGCCGTTGAGTAGGCAATCGACAGTTTGAGGTAGAATGCGCGACGAAAGAAAGTCTGCAGGAAGGGGGGGGGGGGGGCAAAAAAAGCCGAGTCACATATCAGCGAAGTTTTCGCAGCCCAGACAGAGGAAGTGGATACGAGTACCAGGGCGGAAGATACCCAAGATGTTCCTCGATAAGCAGGAGCAGGCTGCCGCCATTCACCTTCATGTACACCAAAATATGAAGTCATCTCCAGTCGCAGCCTGACTGGAGAAGACCTTTGGAATTCACGTCACCTCCAACAGCTGCGAAACTTCTTGTATGGAGTCACCCATGGATAGCTACCTGGAGACCAGTCTCTTGATCTGGAAGACCTCCAACATCGAGCAGCTCCGACAACGTCGCTACGGTCCAGGATATCATCTTCACCGCAGTCGCCAAGGCGCGAGTTGGTGGTATGGACCGGAAGTTCCTGGAATGTGAAGACCAATATTTCTTCGTGGCCCCGGATGAAGTGAGGCGCTGACAAGTTACATCGACCAACTGCGTGAAGAATATCCTGTTACTATACTTCTTGAGCCTTCATAACTGCCATCAGACTGGGTACACCGCCACTCGGAACTGAAGGGTGTTGGAAAAACTGCTTACATGGAATGGAAGGACGTTGAGTACCTGAAAAAGGCGGACTATCTAAGTTTGTCACCTGACCCAAACATCCTCGATTACCGGGTCACCGGGTCCGGGAGGAGCTCGACAGGGTGGTCTACAGTGGCAGAGAAATCAACGACCTGCTGAACTCAAGTACGCAGAAATCAGCTGGTTGCGTGGCAAAAATCATCTCGATGGCGCTCGCGAAGAAGGCTAGGTCTGAAGTCCAATGGAAGAAAGTATTTTTTCGTGCCGCTGTGTATTGGTATGATCTAAGGAACAGTAGGAGATCGGGGGGGGGGTATTTCGTTCCGAGGAACGCCGCCATCTTTCCTCGAAGTTGCTGGTCGACCGTTCTGTCTGTCAAACGTCGAAGTGCGCTGTAGGCTTGTTCCTCACAGGTCCCGTCATTTGTACGCGTTCGCGATTCCTTTGTTCTCCTATTCTTGCGCCGCACACTATGAACGCAGTGGGGATTTTTTATTGTTTTAAGGGCTTTTTCACTCATTACATTGTATTCAGGTACTTGCTGAATCCTTTTAGATTTTCCTGATCTGCTTACTTGGTATTTTCTCAAAACTCTCCTAAAATTCTTGAATCAGATGCGTATATTTTCTTGCATAATTTATATATTTCTTTGCATGGTCTACTTTTCTCACCCACACTTCTTGCTAATACCTCGAATTTGTACGTGTACGTTTTTTTTTGTCGCGAGTCGGAAGTTGTCAGAAGCACCGAATTTTGTGATTGTCCTTGAGCAGACCTCTTCTATTTTCTAAAAACTGAGGATTCAATACATTTCCTTCTAGGTTCCTTCAAACATTTTGCTTTCTTATATATGACGCGGTTTGAAAAGCTTTTTTGCGCTTCATTTATTCGTCCTTCCAGACGGAGCTCGATGCCAGCAGAGATGCTCATAGGCCGTCTGCGCCCCTCCTAATCTACAACGCGCCGATAATCTTTTATAACTGTTGTGCTAGTTCGCCTTACCAGGAAAGTCCGCAAACATCCTATGGAACCTTTGAATGGGACTGGGTAAGATCGATAGAGTCTATAAGGTTATTTACAAATATAGATAGCAAAACTGCAACTTGCATTTCACAAGCAACTTGAGCAGGTAAAGTTTGTAATGGTGCAGTAGGGTGGAGGCTTGGTGGTGAGCTGTGAAGCATAAGCGAGCCCAGACTTTCCGATTTCGCGCTCAAAACTTGGTAAGAATCGGCACGACCCGCTGCGCGAGAAGGCCACGGCTCCGCCCAGTATCACGGGCACGCTCAACTTTTCTCATTGTGAGCTCTACCGTGATGGTGGCGGTTGGTTCCGTCGATTTGTCCATTGGGATGGTAGAGAAAGGCGGTGGGCGAATACCAAACAAAGGGTAACGAGGTCGCCGACGCACGTTTTTGTCTTTGCCATGTCGCACGTACACAGCTACAAGCAAGCCGCGGTTTCAGCAGCTGCTTAGGTTCTACCGCAAAACCACCACTTTTGAACGCGAAGCAAGTCTTTGAACCTACTTTTCTGATTTTATCTGTAATTTGTTGTCAATACTAAGTGGTTCCCAGTGTTTTTTTTTAGCGCGCTGGCTACTCTATTTGTCATTCAAATTCGCCAAAGTCGGTTTAATTTAGTGAATGCATGATTACTGGAT